AAGGATGCTCCTCCCCAAGCACCCTCTTTCTCGTCTCCATCACTTGCACGTCCAGCTGCTCCGCTTCCATCCACCGGCCGTCATTGTAAAGTGCCGTCGCACTCTTCCATGCTAACTTTAACCTATGCCCACCCTCTTGTTTAGACGGACTGTGCGACTGAACGTACTTCGCATGCGGAAGCAGTCGTCTCCACTTGCTTCTACTGCTATGCTCGTTGCCCGGGAATACCCTACACAGCTCTCTAATAGCATTCCTGGTCCACTCATCAAGCCGCCCCTGTTTTCGAAGCCATTTCCGCAAAGCGCGATGCACCAGCTGGTGAAGATCGAGCGAGGACTCGGCAGGCCGCCTGGTGACAAGCCCATAGCCGCTGAGGACCTTTACCGCCTCTTCCCTTTGACGAGACGAGGATGCTGGTAGAAGATCGAGCGGGATGTCTTTCCGGTCCACGCAGGCCGTAAGGAACAGATAGTCTGCTGCTCGCTCACTATTGCTACAGAGCTGGTCTAAGGAGATAAGCAACGTAATGGCTACGGCACTGGTCGTATTATGCTCCTGGGGCCCGTCCTTATGCAATTCACTATCACACTGGGGAACTGCTTCCTTTTGCTTAGCTACTAGTGATCGGTACTCTTGTAGTGTAATGTCTTGGGTATTAATGTACGCTGCTGCTTGCACAATAGCCAAGGGAAGGTAAGACAGCTCGTAGAGCAAAAGCTGCGCCTCCTGCTGCTCACTTGTTAAAAGGGATGCTTTCATATAGTTCGCTAGCATTCTCTGAGCCGTGCTCATCGACATCTCTCTTAGCTGTAGAACATTTGGCGCTGCCAGTTCCTTGGCCGTGTCGCTGTTGGTGGTAGTGTAGAGGACAGCGCACTGTTCTAATTGTGGCACGAAGTCGGTCAGGTGGGCAGATCCTAGGCTCACGTCGTCTGCGTTATCGAAAACAAGCAGGTACTGCCTTTCGCCCTTTCCGTCGAGATATGCTCTCACCAGCTGTCTGCTGTCTACCTTCTCGTCGTCCCAGCCCGGGATGCCGAGCTTCCGGGCAATGCTTTCGTACGATCGGTAAAGGCTGTCCGTGTCGCTCGCGTCAATCCAGAAGACGCAGCAGTTCCTGTTCTTTTGCCTGGTCCTGTGCGCGACCTCGAGCGCCAGCTGCGACTTGC